ATAATAATAACAAATATTACAGGCACCACCAGTACAGTATATATATACCCTCATCATCATCCCGTAACAATGCATGTCGTTGGGTCACCAGTTTCTGTTGACTGTCTGATCAGCCCTCTCCACCTTAGGTGGTCAGTTGTGACGGACTTCATGCCCAGTCAGTCAGGTTCTGTAACCAGGTCTTTCTTGGTCTGCCTCTTCTCCTCTTTCCCTCTACTGAGCCCTGCAGTATTGTTTTTGAGAGGCCGTTAATCTCATTACATGTCCATACCATTGCATTTTTTTTTACATACTATATATATATATATATATATATATATATATATATATATATATATATATATATAGTAAAATAAAAGAGAAGGTCCTTTTTTCACTCCTTTAGGCATATTGGGAACATATAACTATATTTTAAATAAACCAATCAGCACCTAATGGGTGATGTGGTGGGCATCACGCCGGCCACCTTTACTTCCTAGGACTGCACATAGTACCCACTCAAGGCTGGGTCAACCTGGGAGTCAAATTCATTTTTGAAAAAAGCCCGGCTCTGTCAGGATGCAAACCCACGACCTTCGGATCTGCAGGTGTGTGGCCAGTCGCCTATGCCACGGCGACTCCCACACATATATTAATATTGAAAACAAATTCTTCCTGGCACAGAAATATAAAACAACAACCATCACATTCAACAGTTATGCTAGCAGTGTTTCATGAGCAATGTCACATGTCACATAGCTGGGGGTTTTTTCTTTTTTCTTTTTCTTAAATATATATTTTAGGTCTCAATGAAAAATTATGAAAATTCAACCCAGGTTGAAATATCATAAATTTATGACAAATAACATGACATCTGCTTTACTCAAAACTTTGTGGCTCTGCAGTTTAGAGATTAGCCAAATGGATTCACAATACGGGTCCTCAACAGTTAGCAGTGTTCGATTCCTGCAGTAAAGGGTTTAGAAACATATTGTTCTTATAGCTTTGACTGTAGTATGAGAGTCGCATCGTGGAAGAGACTAGAACAGTGGTCTCCAACCTGGAAAGGGGAGGGGAGGGGCTACAAGCAACTGCTATTGTTAAACTTTTTCTTCTTCTTCGTGTTCACCAGCTGTAAGTAAACTCTGGCAGAAAGTTCTGGTTTTTTATCCACTGAACTGAGTTCATCTGTACTTGTAAAAATCAGGATTTTCAGCTTTAAAAGTCATGAAACCAAAACAGCACTCTCTGGCCACGTGGAGAGTGATCTCTGTTGTGCTTCATCCAACATCAGATCAAAACTAGCAGATATCATCAGGTCAGAACAGTCTCAACCAGCAAACTGTTAGCTGGAAACTAAATTACCAGTTCTGGGTTGGTGGTTCCCCCCCCCCCCCCCCCCCCCCCCACTTTTCTCTTAACTGTGTGCCTGTTTGTCTCCAAGCTCTTGTTAACAGTACTTGTGATTTTGATTTTTGTCCTCGTCTATTTAATCACATTTTTTTATGTCTGGGAGGTTGCCATATTCTCAAGGCTGCCATATACACAAGGGGGCTGCCATATACTCAAGGGGCTGCCATATACTCAATGGGGCTGACATATACTCAAGGGGGCTGCCATATACTCAAGGGGGCTGCCATATACTCAAGGGGGCTGACATATACTCAAGGGGGCTGCCATATACTCAAGGGGGCTGACATATACTCAAGGGGACTGCCATATACTCAAGGGGACTGACATATACTCAGAGGGCCTGCCATATACCTAAGGGGGCTGACATATACTCAAGGGGGCTGCAATATACTCAAGGGGCTGCCATAAACTCAAGCGGGCTGCCATATACTCAAGGCGGCTGCCATTTACCCAAGGGAGCTGACATCTTTTTTTTTTAAAGTTGCAGACCATTAGACTAAGCCTCAAAGGGTAATACTACTACAGACAACAGCGGATACATCGTAGACAACCTCCAATGTGGAGATGACACCACTGTTTTAAATTCAGACAAGCATTTTTTAATTTATCATCATCTTTTCGCATATTCTGCACCAAATCACCATATGCCAATATGAGACACTTATATGTTCAAAACATTGTTAGTTTTCTTTATCTGTGTACACATTTTTGTAATTAGTCTTTTTCGTTTATTTAAAAATGTTCCCAAAAATTATTAATGTTTAATTTATTTTAAGCATTTCTTCTTCTTTGCATTTGGTTTTGTATGCTCAGCTCAAGTCATCAGGTGGGCAGCTTCTATGCATTTGCATGTCAGTTGCAGATTTTTCGTGGTTTCTCATAGCTTGTTCTGCACACTTTGTTCTTGAGACCAGGTTTCTCTTCGTAGTTGTAGGTATAGTGGGCAGGTCTGCAGGATGTGCTCAAGTGTTTGTGGTCCCTTCTGACATGCACAGTGTACATACTTTATTTTATGCAAGTGGTGGTGTTCAGTTCTCAGACAGAGAAACAGGTTTAACCATTTAAACAAGGCAATATCTCATTTAACACTACAAAATTATAACTGAAATATATTCTCAATTAATTTTTCAGATAACAGATCTTATATTTGTTTGTGTCTTTTGGGCTATTTTAATTCTCACATAATGCTTCTAATTTTGTTCAAAGAGATGTGTTTTTTTTTACCTTTCTATTTCATACTGTGTAGGTTCGTGTTCTTATTATTTCTGTTTCTGATAGCGCACGAATTTGTGTGTGTGTGTGTGTGTGTGCGTGCTTGAGAGAGAGAGAGGGGGAGGGAGAGAGAGGGGAGAGAGAGAGGGCGAGGGAGAGAAAGGAAAGAGAGAGAGAGAGGGGAGAGAGAGGGGATAGAGAGAGAGGGGAGAGAGAGAGAGGAGAGAGACAGAGAGGGGGGAGAGAGAGTGAGAGGAGAGAGAAAAAGAGAGAGAGAGAGAGGAGAGAGAGAGCCGATGAGGTTTTTAAACATATTTTTATACATTAATACTGCTTTGTGGTTCTCAGTTTTTTTTATCTTTAACATGTCTTCCATGCAGATGTTGAACTCATTTAGTGCCAAGGAATGCATATCATCTGGTTTTTGTTTACTCTATGTATTATATACTTGTCTCATCTCCCTATGCATCACACAGCTGTTACCCCAAGTATTACTTTAACTCCCATAATACAGTATTAACTAGCCCGTTTAGACCATAAACGTGTTAATTTAAATAATTTTTACAGCCGCAACAAAATAAAAATACACCTGCCGGGTTCTTTAAAGTACAAATGCTGTCTAAATAGGCAGATCTATTTCTTTTTCTTCTTCTTCTTAGTTTTTACCGGCTGCAAACAATGGTTTGTAAAAAGTTCTGGTTGTTCATCCACTTCTAGACTTTGATCTTATTCCAGAACTTGAGTTTTACATGCATATTAATTTTACAGATCTCTCTTATTTGCGTGCAGACTGCTGATCTCTCACCTTTTAGGCAGATGCACTCTGACTTGGGGGCAAACACTGCTAATTAATCACCTTTTACGACATACCTGGCTGGAAATATGGTTGCGGGTGGGGGTTGGGGAGGGAGCAGAGCTATTTTGAAACATCATTGCTTAAGGTTTTTTTTTTAAATAAAAGCCATTTTTGGCAGAGAAAATCCTGTATAAGAACCAAGTTTCCCACATGTTAAACACACAGCATGACCATAAGATTTCCATAATAGAGTGCAGTTTTTTTTTTAAATCTAGATGCTTCAAATACCAAATTTATTTTAAAATACAACCTCATTGTGAGTTCAGAAAGCCTCTTATAAAAGAGATAGTAAATATTCTGTTCTCTGAGCTACCAGGGCAACATAAATTTACTGCAGAAAGTATGCCTAGTGTCCCTGTATGGGTTCTGTGACCCCAACTTTCTTTTTCTTTTTGAAAATTTGTTCACCTCCAGGACTGCAAAGTGTAAGATTAAAATTTCAAGGATAAGAAACAAACAAGTACAAATCTCAGAAACCCTGCTCAACCAAAAAAAAACCTGTTCAACCATTTAAACCCCGTTTAACTGTATAAACCTTGTTCAACCACATAAACCCCATTCAGTCGTACAAACCTTGTTCAACCATAACAACTCTGTGCAACCGTATTGCATCGTTCAACCATATAAACCCTATTCCACCGTATAAACCTCATTAAACCACATAAACACCATTCAACCACATAAACCTCATTCAACCATATAAGCCCCATTCAAAAGCACAAAACAGTTATACTGAGGCACCTAGTGGTTAAGAAGTAACTTGCAGTCCAAGTTTGGTGGGTAGGTATGTATCAGTGGTGTGTACTTTGAACAGGGCAATATCAACAGCCTCTTCAGCCCATCATTTGTGAGGCACAAACATGAAAATTCCTAATGAAGTGTTATGGCAAATAATGAGCTTGGCTGACTTACACATGAGACCATAAGTGTATACATATTTTGTCTAATGTGTTAAAGAAACTACTGTCATTTTCTGCTTTGTATTTTACAAACCAGTATGGATTTACATAAATTAACATTACTGTCATCCTAAATTTATATAATGTTCTGTGAAAACTTGAGAATTTTACATAGCTGAAGTAATAAATATTCAGTGAACAATATTCTTAAACTATACAGTAAGAAAACAAAACAATTAATATAATATATAGAAAGTATGGAATGTTTACCATGAAGCACACCTATTACTTCTGAATATAAACATCAATATTTCTCAATATAACAATCAATAGTCACCAAGAACTGCCACCAAAAAACATTTTACAACAATGTTATATATAAATGTATACATATACGAAAAAGTCTAAAGGTTTATAGCAGATAAAAACAGTAATTAGTTTCACAGATTTCAATGAAAGAATTACTAATGAACAGAAGCTAATAATTTCAGTAAAGAAAATAAAGAACGCACAGACATTTCAAAATGGAAGTTAAAAATCTAAAGAAAAAATGTTTCAAAAGATAAGTTTCAATAACCTTGCAAACATCAGTAGAAAATGTAATTTGTGTCCAAGATTACACAATGAGCAGTAAGGATGTTTCAGATAGATTCGTTGTAAAGCGCCATCCGGTCTGACATGGCAGCGCCAATGTTATTGGACTGTGTAAATTCAAAGACACGCTCTTTTGTACATGGTAAATCAAAGGGACAGTCAGTCTGGAATGAAGAACTTTTGGCTTGAACCTTATACTGAAGTTGTCTTAGAAGCTCTGATGCTGAATTATTGTGAGAAAGGCTAGGGGGGATTAATCCTATTGATGAGTCAAGGTGTTGTGATGTAGAGGCCAAGTATGGTTGAAACCAAACAAAATTGCTGAGATCTTTGTTGGGAGGCATATTTAAGGCACTAGATGTTAATGGAAGGGGCGAGGATGAGGAGGAAGATGGAAATGACTGAGATGGGCATGCAGGTGGAGTTTTTGAGCGGCAGGAAATGTTGGGAGGAGGAGATGTTGAGGATACTGATGACCTAGCAGAAGAGGAGCCACTAAGTTTTTTCGATGTGAAAAGCCCATCATCTTCAGGGGTGAGACTGGACTCTCTGTCTGTGGTCTGTGACACTGAAGGCACAGCAGCACTCTTGGAACTAGAACACGGTAACTGGGCTTCCTTTGGTTTCTTCTGTCTCATCAGGTGTCGTTCTTTGACCTTGTACTCCAGAGTGGAGTGAGGCACACCAAAATAGCTACCAGCACGATGCACACTCATTTCTCCTCTCTGCACTGCTTTCACAGCATCCATCAAAAGCTGGGAGTTGTACTTTCGATACTGCCCTCGTTTCGGTCGTGTTTTTTTTGCAGATGAAGAACTATTATGAGTGGTAAAGACTGGGGAAATACATTCCAACTTGCCATGATCCTTTCGAGAACGTTTTGGTGGAGAACAACAATCATTCAGGGACTTTGATTCCTTACCTGTTTGTACAACCTTAGGCTCAAGCCCTAGATTTTCATTTCTAGATCTCCCTATAAATGTTGTGTGTGTTTCAGGTGTGGATGGTAGACAGGTTTCTAGTGGACTCTCAAACTCATCAGAATTACTATCCCTCAATTTCATTTTTTCTGATATAGTTTTGGCTATTATATCTTTCAGTGTATCTCCTATGCGGCTGCTTTCATTGACTTTTCCAAAAGGTTTGGGGACTGATGTCTCATCTCTCATCTTGTATGTGTAAAGACTATCCATAATGCATTTGTACACAGGAGATGAATGATTCTCATCACAGTAAGCCGAGGACATACGAGAAGAAAATGCCGGCAAATATGGTCCAAAGGGACTAAACAGTTCAGTATCACTTTTTGAATTTATTTCAAAGGAGTTCTCCTTCCATCCATGATCATGTTTGACTTCCATGAACCTCTGGCGCACAAGCTTGCGGACAACGTCTATGAGCAATGGTAGCTTTAGGTGATTCACATGTGCCGGACGAGGATGTACTCCTCTGAGTCCGTTCAGATTGTGCATGCGCCTAATTTGCTTCAAGCGATG